AATTAAGACACCAGACGAGACGAGACAGGAGTTTCGCATTTATTCCTGTTGCCCAGTGTAAAATGCATAGGCCACCCAGCTCCTGGGATCTTCAGCCTGTTTCTGGGTTCTCAGGTCTTAAGTCTAGCATTCAGGAAACACTACTGCTGTTAACGATTGGCTATGAAAACTCTGGTTGAAGGCTTGCATGGTGTCACTCATAATTCCTGTCATGGAAAAAAGCTGATTCTATTTGCTGTTCCTAACGTAGATCTTTTGTGAAAGAGCATCTATGCTCAGTAGTTACCTGGAGGCAGTTTGGAAACAATGGCTTTTTCCTCAGCAACAGCTGAAATTGAGCCCTGAAGAGTCAAGAGTGGAAAAGAAGCCGGGGTTGAAGAGGATGGTGGTAACGGAAATTTGGAGTAGAAGTGGCGAGAGGTGAGAGCAGGGACAATGGAGAGCTTGAGGAACTCGGACAGGAGCAGGGGGGGTTCTGTCCTCTCCATCCCTTGCTGTTCTTCCTTTTCCCCACGAATGCAGGACCCATAGACTCTACTCGTTCTGTGTAGTTCCATACCTCATGCTCACTTACAAAAAGTAGCTTTGCTATCCCCTTACTTGCTGCTTGGGCTAGGACGGGAAAGAACGAAGGAAGCGGCAAGCTCAAGAGAGTGCATTTTCCATCCATCATCTCCCCTCCTCCTAGACGGCACCTCTTATACCAGAAACCCTCTCCCCTCTTGCAGGTAGGCGGGAGGCAGAGGTGAGCAGATGCCCACGCTCACTCGCGCAGGCAGAGCAGACTATTCTGCTGCCGCAGCGCGGGTCTGCTGTGCGCATGAATTGCAGCAGGTCTGCTCAAAGTTGCACCAGCTTTGAACTGCAAACAGGAAAACGCAGCATCCTCCGTGCCTGCTGGTACAAGGAAATCGGAGCAGGGTGCATTTAACCTGTAACCGTTTGTGAAAATAAACTGTAGGAGGTAAACACATCAATGATAAAATCTGAGTGTATGTTACCGTGATGACAGGTAGCAGAAAATTTCTCTTAAAGTAGAAAGTGCTTACAAAGACTTTGGCATAGAGACAAATAACTAAAAAAAGCAAGCTGCAGTCTCAAAGGATGGTCCTAAACAAAACGCAGCACTACATAGGTTGATTTAAATGACTACATGGAACGGCTTGCTTTCTATTCTAGTAAGGAAGACAGTCCCTATTCACGAGCTTGATCCTCAGACTTTTTTTTTCTTTGCGAGTGAGGCAGCCCAGTGGAAAGGACAAATATTTGTCAGATAAGATGTGAAGCAGCGTACTGAGAAAAAACCAAGGACGCTGTTGTTTTGTAAAGTGTTATCAAATCCATATAAAGTAACACTTAAGAACAGTCATCTTCTGCTTTGCTTTGTGTATTAAACTAACCGCGCTTTAGGAAATTGTGGCCAAAAGGGATTCTACTTTGGCTTGCAGGTGCCATTTCTATGTAGAAGCTCTATCGCTGGTTCGGAGCAAGAATAAAAAATGTTTCTCAGAAATATGCAGTATTGAAAGAGCTACAAGTAATACCTTCCTGTCCGAAAGGCTTGTTTTGAATTGACTTGTTACTTTTCAAAATCAGTTAAGTGTTAAATTTATGAGGGAAAACTACCCCTACTGAAAAGTGTTTAGAATCTTAAAGCTGAAATAATTTCCCAGTAAGTTATTCTGACAGAATAAACTCCAGGAAAGCAGGCTTACCGCTGCCGTATATAGGATAGCGCAAGCAAAGTCAAGAACGACCATTTCTCCTACAGGAGGAAGGCGGCCAGATGAGAATTTATAGTTGTATAAACATCGTACAGAGCGATCCTCCACTTTAATATGCTTGCCTATGAATTTGGTCTATTTTGTCATTACCTAGCAAAATCCAGATGTGACAAGGCATGAATCGTGCTCACCCCTTTATTACACAGCACACGCCTCTATTCTGTTCTGTAAGCAGAGGCTGTGCTAAAGGCTTTCCGTAACTCATAACTAAATACAATCTCGCATATAATGGTATACTTATGCTAGATTTTGCTTTAATATATATGACCTGACTATTTGTGACCACGTAATAGTTTATTAGATTTTTTAAATGACATTACAAAGAGCCTAAGGCTGGTATTACAAGGTATATTGATACATTTCCTACGTTCACAAAATTCCCCTATTATTATGAGCTTTTATTACAATTTCCCCTCAGTTTTGAAAAATGACCTGTCATATTGCCTTCGTAATACACAGGCGCTAATCTGGTGGCGTTCAAAGAGCAGTCTTGAGCGTGGTCCAGGTGTAACTGCTGACTGCCACTAGTGCTTTCTTAAATTTATATTTCAAGCTGGAGGAGCATCGCAATGATTGTCAGTAATATCCGACATTGGTCATTTTTCTTCACAAGTGACATAGTACAGACTCTTCTAAATACACTTTTCATTGCCAAAATACTCTAACGTAATCCATTAAACTCCAGGCCCATAAATGTGGATATGATTATAAAAGCAAACACCTTTCTAAACCAAATGCTTTGAAGAGTTCCGGCTAGCTGTTATTCAAAGAGAAGCAAGGCTTTACAATTCTAACTGGGTTCTCTCCTTTTTTGTTACTCGGAGTATCCTTGCTTTGTCAGCAAACTGTTTACTACAACGAGCCAGTGATTTAGACAGAAAGACCACACACAGACACTCCCGCAATCCCATCCCCATTCTGTCCAGTATCACTATTTTACCCGTAATTGTTGTTCAAAGGTGATGCTAAATGACACTCTGACAGTTTCAAAGCAGAGATTTACAGGATTAAAAACCTTAAATCCCATAGCGAGATTTTCCATAGTTAATAGTTCCTCGTCTGTCTAAATGTAACAGATTTGGAATGGCAGTGCTTGCCCAACTGTGTACAGATGCCGCTGATGTTAAATCTCTATTTCTGGTTTATGTTCTAGGAACACACAGGTAAGGTGACACCAGGAGTAGGAGATACGATTTTGATGTTCAGCGTCTTATGTTTCCAAAATCACCGCATTACATTTATGAGAAAACAACACACAGTCCTCAACTAGTTGAGTGACTGATGCTTAGAGCTAAGATTAATGCTAAGTTTCAATCTTGTGCTTCACTCCACGAAGTTACGTAGGACAAGTTAAGATTTCCATTTGATGGGAGTCACTAGATGTTTAGCTATCAAAAATGAGACGTCTAGAAAAATATAAGAGAGAGAAAAAAGTGACTTCACAAAAAAATACACCCAGTAGTTGAGATCCATAAGATCTGTGTTTTAATAACACAACTAATTGATCCTCATAACAAGAATTCAAAAAGTGAAATTACAGTACACAAATCAAAATATAAACTAACCTATCCCTAACTATACAATATACATTAGGAATGCAAGCTCTGTAACAATATAAAAATGCTTTTACACACAGTAGTTGCAAAAAGCTGTTCTGTAATTCCAAGGATTTGTAGAAAAAAAAAAGAAGTCTTCCAGGATTCATCTTAAGTTACTGGCAACCTGTTGGGGAAAAATAATTTAAAAAAATATATTACTGAGAAGAATTAAGAGAATCATGCTCATCAGAAATTTTCATTTGTGGGGTTCAGGCTAAGGGAACTGGCACCGGGGGCAATGAAGCCCATAATTTGTATTTTTGTCAAAGTATCGCAAAAAATAGGTACCTCAACAAGCAAGACGTACACCTGTTTCAAACACCCATGCCTATTACACAGGCTGCATAGTATTCTAGACGTGACCTCAGAATTTCAAGCCTAAGAGAGGCTGAGACATGTCTTTCTTAGCCACCTTAAAAAAAACCCAGTTAATCTAACATGATACATCTAGTAGTTTACTTACCAGTTGCCTTCCATGGATTACAAAAATCAAATTCTATACAAACTGAAATCTTAGTGCTCATATAATTATAATTACGCACGACACCCACCCACCTCGTTTATGCTGTAACAGTTTTGGCACTCTTGCATTGCCCCCATCTTCTGCAATGCCTTTAGCAATTGTTGTACATGGTGTGTGTGGTGCTACGTGATCACTTGCATTTATGTACGTGGTTTTGTACTAGATTTTGAACTGCTGCTTGCCAAGTAGATGAAACATCTACTTCTCCGATGTTTTTGTGTAATATAGGGGCAGGTTATCAATTAAGAAATGATGTAAGAAGAATATATAATAATACTGCGTTTATCTTTCAGTAAGAAATTTCATTTTCCAGGGAGCATTGCCCTAGAATACGCCTTGCCTCACGTCTGAGTGTTGTCTTGTCCGAGTCAGGACGTGCTGCTTTGGAGCGGTATGTGCGAGTCATGTACTCCCAGCAAGCTCCGAGCTTACACAGGAGGGATTTACAGCTGACTGGCAGTAACTCGCTCATTAGCCCCAGTGCACAGCAGCAAGCCCACAGTCTTTAGGAGCTTAGTGGGAGCTAAAGTCTACAGGATGCAGTGGAAGCTTGAAGAGTAGCATCACGCTCACACGAGCTTTCTCGCTATGGAAATCGGAGTGGATGTTGGTAGCGTGTATGAGATTACTGTCCTTTTCAGAAGGTGCAAATATGATGAGAGAAGGGAAGAGAGGAGCTCGCTTTGCTACTGATATTCCTTCCTGTCTCTTCTTCCCATGCTGCGAAGACAGTCGGCATTTCAGATCTTACTAAGAGCACCAGAGTGAGTAACAGAGGATGAATATAGCTATTGCACTTCCTCAAAACTAACTGGACATGAATAACTCTCCTCCCAATATCGGTGAAGAAAACATCCTTGCTGAAGAGGCTAGTAGGAGCCTGCTGAGGACAGCTTTTTAAAGCTTCTTGTATTATACTGTACAGAGCTGCTCTGAATTAATTTCAGACTACCTCACAAATCAAAGGAGAAAGTCCATCTACTTTAAAGTCAGTAATTTCAGGTGACCTGAGGATTTGTTTCAAGGCTAGCAAGCAATTGTCTCACTTTAACTCTTGTTAGTAGCAGGGGTCTTGTTCTCGCCTTCCAATTCTTCCACTCCCGCTTGCGTCATGAGGTCTGCTATGTTCTTCTCCAGGTCATCTATGCGACAGCTCATGTCATCAAGTTCACTGGAGTTAAGGACTACGACCGCAATCTAGTCGTGGTTGGGTTGGGTTTTTAGGATTTTTTTTTCGTTATTGTTGTTTTGGGTTTTTTATTACTGTTTTGCTCAAGCACTTATGGTCACTTTAAGTTTATCTTCTAAATCGCACTGGTAAATATACTGCAAAATACTTGTGCATCCGTAGTATATAGCACCTATCTGACTTTAAAAAAGGATATTTCTTCCAATTATTTGGTCAGACATGGTTTGAAATTTGTCCTGCATTTGCTGAAGCAATGTCTGCACCTAATAGAAAAGAAAGAAATCTGTTTTGTTTTCATCAAAGAGGTTGTTGCAGTATTTAATCTCATATAATGAGGTAAGTACAATGTTTTCTTTCATTGCTGAGCTCAACTGTGCACAAACTCTGCAGTATAATTCCATATTTAAGTCACATATTTTTACATATATATCTATGTACACACAGGAGAACTGAGGCTCACGGT